ATTTCGCTCAATATATGACTACCTCTTTACACAGGGAAATATTCGTTCGCGAGGGAAATCGCATGTGAAAAAAGAAAAAACAATCGACTGGTCGCTCCAGGCAATTTTATTCCCAGGTATTAATTGATTCTCGCGGAAAATATCCGATACGCGAGCACGAATACATTACGGGAATATTGCACTCGGCCTGTATTTTCTCGTCGACGATCGCCCGCACGCCATCGCCCGATAATGAATCTCGTCTCGGGGAAAAGCTGACGCGCTCGTGACGCGTTCTAGTCGATTAAACGCGATATAATCGCAGGTGCCCGCAGGTGGACGCGCGTTTCCCGCGTTCTCGCGCGTCGGTTTAGCGCGGCGACGTGATCCAATTTGACGGCGACGCGTCTTCGCGTGATCTCGTCTGCCGCGGGTAGTTGTCGCGCGGCTGATGTTAACTGAGCTATATCAATACTCCTGGCTGCTGAATATACTCATCGCCCCGGAATACCTGTTGATATTCGTCCGGCACGAAGAATAAAGCATAGATCTCCGGAGTGCTCAATATCGAGGGCGAAGTATCAGTAACTTGTGCGAGAAGAGGAATCGTTCTCTCTCGACGCTACTACGATATTCCATCGCGATATCGACACTCTGCTTTCGATATCGCGCATTCTTCGCGTCAGCAGTATCGATTTGGCTTTTGGCAAGGTTGGCTCCCGATAATGTCAGCATCTTGAACGATATTATTGGGAACGCCGGCCGATATTATTATTACGCCGGCCTCTCTAGCCAAAGTAAAATCTATTCATAACGAAATGAACAAATTTGACGCCAAGTTGAACGCAATCTTGTTGTATTTTAGTCTTTATATTAGTATCAAGTTTATTACATATATATACATAGAAATATTTAAATTAATCTGTTCTACGTGCTCGTTTTTAGCACAGACCGGAACGAAATGTTATGTTTGAAGTAAAACACCGTAATACGTAGAAACGTGTGTGTACACTGAGACAGAATACTTGAAGATTTATCTTGCGAGATAGAAAATTTATTTGCAGAAAAAAACTTTACATATCACAAATAAATTTTCAAGTACCTTCCCTCGGTGTACTCAACAATTATCGCCGCTCAGTTAATTGTAGTACTTTGGTGTACATCTTTAAAAAATTACGAGACACGATAAAAAAGTCATACAAGCAAGTAAATATTTTTCTCCTGTAAAAAAAAGAAAAACTAACACGTTTGCCTACTAGATCTGGTCTCCTCTACTGAACAATTGGGGACTTATACCTAGATCTGGCTTGATATTTGATATCGCGTACACTGAGAAAAAAATGTTTGATATATTTGTCACTATAATCACATGGAGAAATAATTACTACAAATTATGATCAAAACCATTTAAATTTGATTGGGGCCAAAAGTAATTATAATTTTTGTTAGATGAGGCATTTTTTCCCTCAGTGTACCGAGGCCGCGAAGACACCGGTATTAATTCGTTCGATTGAAATTTCCCCAATGGTCGCTCGCGCTGACGACAGTTCGTCAATTGGCGCGTCGACAGGCCGTAATGTGCTCGATCGACAATAAACACGCGCGTACAATAAACACGGGGATGTTAATGAGGCACGGTCATAATTTACAGAGGGCTGTATATGTCGCGAACGGTATGCGAAAACGATACTGGGTGTGGTAACCGGAGGCGCGAGGAATCGCTGGGGGCTCGCGAGCGGAAATCGCGGCGATAAGATTCTCCGCGCGCGAATAATCCGCGACGCGCGAGTACTCACTGCGTTACGGCCGCCGGAACGACACTCACCTGAAACAGAACGAAAACGATGCTTCAATAACGCTGTCTTCTACGAAGGCTTTAATTAAGGTTCAGTCGCTGACTGGACACGTAACCGTTTCGATTCGCTCGCCCGGTATTACTCCAGCGCGCGACGAACACCTGTTGGCGCTTTCGCTGTCATTCTTAAATATATGTATACAGGCTGCTTCAGTAAAGTCGGGCGAACTCTTAGGCGCGTATGGATTAGATGAAAATCAGCCCGTGAAGTTCACGTAAATCGCTTTCCTGCAGCGCACACTTGCTGAGGATGTATTTACCGAAGTTAGGATCTAAAAAGCATTTTCTGAAAATATCTTTCATATAGTTCGTCAAATAATTTTCGATAATCTTAATATAATGATTTGGCGAGAAAGAAAATTGAACTAAGTTAAATTTAATTGGGAAAAGGGACAGATTTATCTAAAATCGTAAGAAATATTCAAATAAGAAGTCAGAAATTATTCTATTAGAATATTATAGCAGGTACATCAGTTCTCAATTCGTCGTGCACGAGAGTGCATGAGAATAGGAGGTGCTTATATTAAACATTTCTTAAAATTATTAAAATTATTTCTTTAATTAATATTTTTTTTTATAATTTTGGGAAAATCTAAATTGCTTTTTAGATTTTAACTTCAAAGGTGGATATTTCAGCGAAGGTGCGCTGTTGAGAATAATTTGGAATTCTTATGGAGTTGTATTCACCTAATGTAGACACCTCTAAGAGTTTGCCTACCTTTGCTAAAACGTCCTGTATTTATGCGTACTATGTATCACGCAGAAATAGTTGCTTAACAAGTTCTCGCGTAATCAGATAACTAGTTCACGTAATCAGATAGATAGTTGAACGTATCTTGGTTGACTGTGTCTGGAATGTTCGTTGAGGCATATTTAGATACATTGTGTTATGTGAAGTAATTCAATGCGACCAAAATCGCGGAAGTATAACACATAAATATGCAAGCTAACTGTAAAGACGTGATACATCTTTTGGGAATAATTCCGCTCTGGTTGCGAGTTGCTCTCATGAGCAACCATCGAAAGCCGATGAAAGTGATAGGCGAGCGCGGTGCATAAAGAGCACATCAAAGATAACGATTCACAATGTTGTCCGAATCAAATCACGGACGCGTCACGGAGGCGGTCATGAAGATCATTATTTGGAGCAGCTGTTTTCCAGGTTACAATTATTCCGTAAACGCGTCGCGAGCGGGGGCAGGTCAGCGCGCGGATTCGCCATTTGTTAATGTCGTGGAGTTAATGTCGGGAACGCGGTCGCTTGTTAATTTAGTCGCGTCACGTAAATGCGCTATTCCAAATTCTCTGAACCGAAATGCGCGAATCGCACGCTCGTGGACGCGATGGGAGCGATAAATCAAGTGTCCCCGTCGCCGGAAACGCAACACTGGCATTGTCATTCCGTCACACTCCAGTCTTTAGACGCGCGCAACTGCAATCGGTTCGCTGCAAAGCGATAACGGAGAGTCGCTTCATCGCGAGAGGGAGGGAAAAAAGGTCGCACGCGCGCGAGCGGTTAAATTATTATTCGCCAGAAGCAATTGCACCTTGCTTACTCTCTTTTTCTTTCTTGAAAGGTAGCCGAGCTCTCTGCTTCACTGAACGCGAGTGACGTGTCGCAAGAAGAAACAAGAGTTCGAAAATGTAATCGCGAGGAGGGGAAGAGGAGAGGAAGGGAGAGAGACACTTTGAAGTTAAAGTTCACAAATTCCCCGAGAAAAAATATCGCCTGGCTTCCCGAGGGTGTCTCTCTTTCCTTTTTCTTCTTTTATTTATGCAAAGAGTTACCTTTGCAAACTAAATTCTGTACGTCTGACAGTATATTCACAAGATGTCACGTCTCATATATACAGTGACTTATAAGTTTCTCTCTCTCTCTCTCTCTCTCTCTCTCTCTCTCTCTCTCTCTCTCTCTCTTTCTCTCTCTCTTTTTTTTTATCGTTATCCGTGATCACGCTTATTTATAAGCCGCGCCAGAAATGTTTTGCTATCCTTAGAGGGATGCGTTTCCCGTCGCGCCTTCGTACACGATGTAAACACGATCGAACGAGAAAAAAGGCCCGCGTCAGGCCGCGCGGATGAAGAGAACAAGATGTACCGCAAGTTTGTCGAGAATGATAGCCCGTCAAGGCTGTTGCTTGACAGTCTGACCCCATGCCACGAGGCCACGGTGGTATATTTACCACCTGGAAGTGCTTAGGGGGTTCTCATCCACGTCTCATCTCTAATGGTCTATTATTGGACGATCTATTAAAGGGTACGTGCTTCAGCGACGACCGCCACGCCTGCCACGCAGATGTCTTAGGATAATGTTACATCAGTATCGTGCAATGTTAAGTAAAATGCGCGCGACAAATCGCACAGGAACGTTAAAATCTGACTAACTTGCGTGTTGTCTTCTCAATAATACACGGTGGAGAATACGCGATGAAAAATCTTTCAAAGATATGAATATTAAACTACACCGATCGCACAATCATTTACTTGCGTGTACGTTTTCACATTTTTTTTTTGTTTAAAAGGCAACACTGAATAAATTAAGATGTAAAAAGTGACTGCGCGATATTATCTTAACAATTACACATATGTAATTAACCTATATGTGTAACCTGTGTGATTTAATAAAAATATTATTCAAGTAGAAACGATATGAAGTATTTAAAAAGAAAGTGAAGAATGAAAATATAACAATACAATGATGAACTCTAAAAGTGTCTATAACGTAGAAAGGATCGTGGCACAAACACAAACACGCTATCCTTTTCGTATTTCTTTTACAAGTAGATCTCACGTAAATACGTGTTTTCTTAATCATATTTAGCGGAAAATCTAACCACGCATATATAGAAATCTTACAAACTTCTCCGGTATTTTTAAGCTTTCAGATTCAGGTGAAAAGGTACAATATTTTTTGAAATTTTTCTGAATGGAGCAAACTTGCTTTCAGTATATACAAGATGTTCCGATTCATTTTCGCACGTACTTTTGTGTAAGAACATTTGCGGTTTTGCGCAGCCAATTCAACGGAAACTTTTTAGAGAGAAATCGGTATTCTATCGGTAAAGATTTCGATATCCCCTTAACGTCTTGCATGGGCGGCAAGAACAGCCCGAAGTGGAACGGATCCTTTCAAAAAGACCGCCGCACGGAATCGATACTGAGCTCCCGGAGACGGCGCTCGAGAGCCTCATGTCGCGTATCGCGAGCCAGTTGCATACGCTGCGTACGTAACATATTCATCTTATCAAGCGGCGCAGGAAGATTACATAGGTATTCGCATTCGTGGAAGCAAGCACGCGCTACATCGAGTGCTTACGCGTTTGACTTACATATGTGTTTTGTACCGAGTCATACGGCAGCTGTAAACGAAGTGCAAGTGGCAGCATTAACTGCTCCAATGGCCGCGGCTATCCGTTCACCAGCACGAAAGTCTCGCACATGCGTGACAGAGTAAGGACGTGGAGTGGTGGGAATGTGCGGATGCAGCACGTTTCAAACGTACTGAGGTATCTCGACTTGTTTTTTCTGAGTTTTCCTTTAACAAATATTTCGTAACAATATTCTCTGATGAGCAGAGAATCGCAGGTACGATCAATTGTGTCAAACACGAAGTTATTAATATAGAAAAAGGAAAAGTATTAACTAAAAATATCGCGTATATAAGGTCGTGCAATAAGTTACTTCGGTTTCCCCAATGAATGTTTCAACAGAAAGTAAGAAATTATTACAAAAATTATTGGAGAAATTATTATAGAGAATAAAAATTATTATATTTTACCTTATTATAAAATATTATCTAATTTCTTATTATAGAATAGAAAATTTATTATCTTATCTTATTTATATATTTTTTTTACTTATATCATATTTTATGGCTTTCTTTTTCATTATAATATTATACCTGGCATCTTTATAAATAATTATTATCTCAGTTATTATTTATCAGAGTCAATAATATTTTAGAGCATATAATATTCCTTTAAGAGAAATTGTTACACAACTCATTATTTCTTATTTGGTGGACAGAACATTACTGCAACGAAAATAATGTTGACACATTGTATTGAATGCAGGACATGAGATAATGTATGCAGGATTGAGATACATTTTGTTAATGCATTTCTTCACACTAATACATAGTATATATAAACAAGTATTAAATCGAAAGGTTATCGCCCCCTCGTGATCTGCAATGCGACTGACAATGAAAGCGAGATTCGATCTACACGATTCTAATTGCTCGACCGTTATCTGACATATTCACTTTCGATCGATACTTACGAAAATAATTGCCAGCAGAAAAACTCCGCGAGTATATTTCGCTCGCTGAAGCATTCCACGATGTGACCCGATATTTTCCCGATCGTCTGTTGAAATTGGTGATTTGTTGTCGACAGGGCTCGCGCGTTTTCACCGCGAGCGTAAAATTGCATTGCATAAATAATGACGTAATTCGGTCACGTAATACTTACGATACGCGCGCGACGTCTAAAGTATTCCTGGAACCCCGCGGTCAAACTCGATGAAGCAATCAAAGCCGCGTAACCAGCAAATTCGCGCGAGTTGATGCGCGAAAGTTGATGCGCGCTCCCCATTAATTACGTTATTATACGTCCTGATACGCTGACGTGAACATACGCGCGCGTAAGAAACAGAAACGCCAACGTGTCGCGCGACGCGATCCATCACCTGACGATCGTATTGAACCTCGTTAACCTTGACATTTTGAGCGGCTCTTACCTCGCGTTTATTTTAGAAAGGTAGAACGGTACATACACCGTGACGAATTCCCGCCCCGCAGGACGACGAGCGACACTATTGGGTGTGTGATGCGATTGCTTTTGTCGCGCACACTCTCCTATCAAAAATTTAAGGACGAACGCGCGCGCACGGGCTCTCCTGGAAGTATATTGAGTCGCTCCTTTCATCCGCGAATTCTCAGATTAGATTAAACTTGGTATATTCCCTCCGGATAAAAATTGACCAGGACGCCATCGTTTCTCGCGACCTTCTACTATTTTTTGCACGTTTATACACTTTATTGCGTATCCAGTAATCTTTTCTACAATTGGATTTTTCTGCTAGAATAAGGTTTATTTAATGTTGATTAAATCACGAAGATTTATTGCTCTTTCAGCTCTTATAAGGCTTTATTTAATGAATTCCATTTGCTCATTCAGTCGTATCTATAAATTGAAGACTACTTATGTTTCGACATTTTTTATAAGATATGATCCTCGTGAAAAATGTTTGTTCTATTTTAAATATTTCGTACCTGCGACCTGTGTTTACACATACACACATGTAAAAAATTAATATACTTTCAAATTTAATATTTTCGATAAAATATAATCATCTAAACTTAAAAAAAACTCAATTTTTAACTAGCATACTGGCAACGTTTTCTCAGATGTTTCTCCGTCTCGTTCGGTAAATTTATAGAGCAAAGAATGGCATTTTATTGGCAAGTAGACTATAAAAATTATATAACTGCATAACTATATCGATAACCATCAATAGTACGTATAGAGTCGCAAGTTTTGACCAGTAATCAAAAATATGCTGAAAAGTTCCTTATAATCACTATATAAAATCTATTATCTTCAATTTAAATTTTTATATTTTACTTGTAATTAATAATCTGAAGAAAAACCTAATCCAAAGTACATATTTTCAATATATCAATATTGAAGCTTTTTCACGACTGTCGTCTTGAATCCGCCATTTTAAATTTTAATTTTAATAGTAAATTTGGAATCAACGCTCCTAAAAACTTTTATGATCGTCGCAATGTAGGACATATCTCTTCTGGGAAAGCTGCAGGTGCAAAAGGGTTAAACACCATTACTTTAATTTTTAATTCACATCGATTCTCTCGTGATTGATGTTTCGCGGAAACGTGTTTCTGAATGCGCGCCACATTCAATGGCCGAGCACCTCACGACGAGAACCGTAATTATAATTGATGGATGTGCGCTTTCGTATATTATATGAAGGTCTAAAAATATCAGCACTTTTAATTTTTAGTAACGGTATGTAGTCGCAGATAATGAATTTTGCCAATGCAAAATTTGAGGTCGAAGGAGCACGCATACAAATATCGCACGTGTCTGATCTCGAGGGGTCGGCCAGTGGGGAATCCAATCGCGAATGATCATCAGACCGCAAATTGTCGGACGAAGGACACTGCTCGCCGCAAAAAATGCCCGCAATTTCTGGGCGAAAATGCTCGGTGGGAAAAATAGGCCGTTGGCGTCGGAGGTAAGCCCGAGAGCGTACTCCCCGTTAATTAATTAATTTGCGCGCTCCCCTTAATTACGTCGCGGCGTTTTTCGGCGGTCCGAGAGAAATCCTTTCTCACGAGATCGTATACTTTCTCCGGACGCTTTTATTACGTAACAATACACGTTCGTGTTACACTTCGCGTGTTTCCATTCCCGCGGCTCTGCGATTGCACTCGGATAATCCCATGGATCTCCGCGGTCGAATAGACCTCAGGAATCATTCTCGAGCGCGGATGCGTTGTGTATTCCGTGGAGGAATTGCGACACGTGACCATTCTTTCCTTCTAAAGTATGTTACGACAATACGCTCGAGTAAAACTTACGACAATTTTACAATTCTAAATCCCCGGACTTATGTCACTGAAAAAAATCCGAGGGTAAACTGCTATTATATCTTTGTACTTGCAGTCGGTATCCGCGCATCTCGTTCATAGTTAAGACACGCGACTGGTAATCGCGAATGTAACTCATATTTAGATTACTGTTAAATCTAAATCCGAAATCTTTGTACAGAAGTCTCCATTAATGCTGTCCCTAGCATACCCAGACAATAAAAATCCCGATGACGTCAAAATGATATCAAAATGACGAGAGAATGCCTAAGAAAACTCACTTTTCAATCACGATTCGATTATTTTCTTGTCATTTTGACGTCATCGTGATTTTCTGCTTTCCTTAGGTAGCGACATTTGAAATTTTAAGTCGAGCACATTATATTATAAATATTTGTATATTATGTTAATTATTCGAGGAATTGCCTGTCTTTTGAATAATCAACAATCATGTGTCCATATGTCCGTGTATATAAATATTTATAATACGACTGTGACCTAAAATCAAACATCGTTATGTTAATACGAACGTGACAGCATTATTGGAGTCTTGTGTTTGTTTAGTATATAAAGTAATATATCAATGCCCGGATATGTATCAATCTCCGGACATTGTTATTATTTTTATATTTGAATATGAATATTTCAACTTTCAACGTACAATACATACATTTAATATTTATATTTAGTGAACGTTGAAAGATGAAATATTTAGAGAAATATTCAAAATAATAAGAGTGTCCGGAATTAGGTACATGTCCGGGCATTGGGACATTTACCTTATGCATTTTTGAAAATTGTTACAATATTTATCGTATATAAACATTCTGTACCGTAAGATGGGGTTACATTGCGACTGTAGGGGTTACTTTGTGACACAGTGAATATTGGTCAATAGTGATAATTATCCCTACAGTCACAAAGTAACCCCATCTTACGGTAATTTAATAATCTTTGGTCCGTATTAATAGTCATTACTTGAAACTCGTCTGAAGTGAGATATTCAGATTTAAGTTTAGAGTTAGATGAGAATTTCTTAATTAAATTGCAATTACATATACAAGTGTCGCACTTGTCATAATTCAACTGAACACCTTGGATCTGACTCTAAATAAAAGTCTGACCTGAGACCATCATCTCACCTGAGACAAGTTCCAAGTAACGATTATTAATACGCCTTTGAGAGGCCTTTGCCTCCACGAGATATTCCTTATTTGCTCGTTTCTGTTGCTCGCTTCTTTAAATATTGAACAAGATTCTAAATTTTATTCCACCCCCCGTCACGCAAATTTGCACCTGCCGCGGTGCAATCCCATCTCGTCTTACGGTAACGTGAAACGGAAAGTGCACACAAGTAACACGATCGGGCGTATTAAGAAACGACGTTGCCAACTGGCCGCGACGCCGCGCGCATTTCGAGCGTCCGAACTTTCGAAGCTCCTCCGAACTTTCAGTGCGACGAATCAAGGATCGCCTGCAATATGGTTACATCTTAAAGTTGAAATGCTAGTTTGCGAATCGATCATATATCAATTTCCTTCGCATGGAAAACTTAGAAATGAAAAGTTTCATGGGCGAATTCAGTGAAATTTTTCATTTCTCATGAGTGAAATAAAACAGATATTGGATTGGTCCATAAAATCGTGCGAATTTCTATTTAACTGGCATCCACATGTTGATATTAGGAGAATAGCACCAATACAGTTGGCTATCTTCTTTGACTATTTGAAAAATTAAGTAGCAAATAAAAATTGAAGATGCGTTAATTTCATAAAGAAAGATTTTTCAAAGAAGCAGAATTGAGCGTGACATTACAGATTAGCAACTACTTATGATTTTTCATCTCATAACTATAATCTCGTTTGCTTGACCATCAGCTAACTTATTTATATAGTCACTGGGAGAAGTTAGCGTTACATTACTGATTAGTAGTGACGTCAGACACGTATTCACTATCTCGTGGTTAGACACCGACGAAGTTCAGTTTCTATTAGAGTAATTGCGACCGCATTGTGGGCGATCCCTCAATCTTTTTCGTACACACGAAAAGCCGGAAAGACTAAGCACACGACCTCAAACGCGTGTTAATGAGTTGATGCGTACGGAAAGAGACGTAACGGGATGTAACGGTTGCGACTTTGTCGAGAGATTCTCTCCTCGCGACGAGACGAGCGGATGACGTTATACAAAGTGGCCTTATGCCATTACGACGGGCATACGCAGGTCTTAACGAGCTACCTATTGCAAACCGGCGAGCCACCCTGGACCTCATACTTCGTCCGGTACGCGGACGTGGTGAACGATCAGCGCGGAATGTCACACTTCAATTGGCCCGCGGGCGGCAGCAATTACCACGTGCTTAGGACCGGCTGTTTCCCGTACATCAAGTACCACTGCAGCAAGCGTCCGGCGCAGGATCTCAGCGGCGAGGACAGATTTTTCAAGGCGATCAAGATCTTGAACCTTGGTGAGCGCGCGCGACCCGGACGCCCGCTTCGGCGAACGAAAAAGAAAGCCGGCGTTCGAAAACGCGACCTTGTTCATTTATGTCGGTTAGATACGCCAAGTCGACGTGCTCGTAAATCCCGTCGTCGCCGCGAATACGGGGTGTCGCGGAGTCGCCGACGATAATGGAATTGAGCAGCTTGGGGACACCTTCGTCTCTCGATTAAAATGTTCTACACGGAGAGAATTTTGCAGGAAAAATTATTATAGAATTTGGTAACCGAACAATACATCGACATTCTGCACATTCTAATTAATTATCCTTTTGTTATATATGTGCTATTTATTTATTTATTACAGGAACTAAAATGTGCTATTAAAAATTTCGTTTTAATACTGTTAGATACGTCAATACGTATGTTTCAATACTGAGAGATAAAATATATCTAAGAAATATTTATTAAGTTTTTTATTTGTTGTGGATACTATAGCAGTATATTTACTTATAATAATATAAAATATTTTTTAAGTAAAAAGATATACGTTTTCTTAAAGTCTTAAAAAAACCTTAATTTTTCATCAAAGCAATTGTTCATTCCATTGTAAAAGTAAAAAATTTTCCAAGTAAAAAATTTAGATTTAAATGAATATGCTGTCAACATCCACTAAATAAATATTTACTAATTTTCAGACATTTTTTCTTTCAGTGTAGCAAGACAGACCTCACTGACAGCTTGTTTCCACACTGCTAAAAACACAGTAAAATTGAAAAGAATTTTTATAAAAGCAAACTATAATATTCTCTTCGCGTAGCTATTTAATTAAGAACATAGACAGATTTGCGGATGAAATGTTTAAAGTGCGATTAAATAACAAATAATGTTATTCAGTTAGGTCCTAACGAATTTTATTTTCCTGAGAATTTTCGTCTCGGGACTTAATTACCGGATTATTTAACGATGCGGACGGGCCACGACGGACGCGTAAATTTTCCCCGGTCGAAACGCCGACGCTAAACCCACCCGAGGATTCGTCGTTGCAATTAAGCTCAGCAGTTCCGAGACACCCCGTACACTCGCCGGCTACCATCGTCTGACTTAATTGAATTCACCCCGTATCTAAAGTAACGATCGGAACAGGACGTCGTGACAGAAAGCGCTCGTATTACCAGGCGGTCTTATTTGACTTGATTTCCGACGTCCGAGAAGGAACGTGGGACAACGTCGTCCTTCCACGGTCAATGTCTCGTTCCATTGACGCTCTTCCGATCTGGAATTAGCCATGGCGAACGGGTTCAGTAATGCCGGCTCGCCCGCATCTGACTTACCCGCGCTGCCCCCTCACCACTGTTTGTTGGTCCACCAGGTATTCCCACCCTGATGTACGGTCTGGCGGCTACACAGCTTATCCGACACCGCGAGATCGTGAAGACGCCTCGGGGCGACGTGACGATCTACTTCTTGCTACCGGAGGACAAAGGCTCGCAATACTGAGGCCGAACTACACCGACGCTAAATCGTATCGAGGCCCCTCGTCACGGTCCTCCTCCGAGGGGACGTTAACGGCGGCCAAATTACATCTCGCGTGGCGAGAGTTACATCGAGAGAGCTACGTCGGACGATCGTTGCAGCTCTTTCATCCCCGGGTCGTGTTGTCGCTCGCGTCATCCCGGCGCTAGATTCTCGGGTGCGGGGCAAGATAGGTGGCGCAAGAAAATCTGAACGCCGTCGTGAACGTATCTTAGCGCGGAGGATGCAGACGTTAATTTTCTCAACTAACAAAACGGAGATGTGCGGAATATCGCTTTGGTGCGCGCGTGTTGCCGCATTGGACTGTCCTAAAAATAACAACGCAATTCAGTGTAAGTGTGAATGGTATCCATTCATTGGCATCACCGACAATGTCTGCCAAGCGAGATGTTAATAAACATTTACATCTTGGAACAAGCATTGCCGTTGTTTTTTCGCATGCGAGATTTCACATCCGCACGATGGGATATTGGGCGCGTGTTTGACCACTAATTACTGATGCAAAAGCCATATCGCTTTCGTATTTCTCGTAAAACTCGAGAATAATAAAATGTTTAAACAAAACATGTAAAAAGTTAAAAAAAATTATTTATACAAATAATTTCTCGATTTGGCCGAAATTCGAACCATTTTTGACTAATTTAGCACAGATTAAAAATATTTCGGTTGAAATATCGGCTAAAGAAATTTAGAATGGTTTGTGTCTCGACTATGCCGATTTTGTTAAAATTATTCAACGATATCTTGTATTCAATTTTATTTTTTATGCATTTTTATTGTACTTGTTGATGACAGGAGTGAGAACATTAAAAAGCTATAAACTGCCTGTGAAACTCAAAGTGGGCCAAAATGAAAAAATATGACCTAGATAATTTTTGTACTTCCACATTTGTGCCAAATTAGAAAGAAATCGATGTACCTTTTAGGTAGGGTTACTTGTTAGATGAATTTCAAGTAGCAACTATTAATATAAGTATTAACATTTCATTCAACTTTAGAGTTGATTCTGACTTCACATAAATGAATATTTCAATCAACTGAGAAATAAAAACAGTAGATTTCATTAAAATTGTAGTTATTCTTAGTCTTAATCATATTTCTTGGTTGTTCCAACATGAAATAGCCAATAGTAACATGCGTATAAGATTATTGTCACTAACATTAGAATAGAGAATTTTATAAAAAAAAAAAAAACCGGTTCCCTTGATCATAATTTATAGCTAATGTTTCTCTATGTGATATGTGTGATATGTGATCTATGTGTTATACTCACAGATACCAAATACTTTTGCTCAGTGAATGAATTGTTCCTATAAGGATGGAGTATATCAGATTCGCTCTTCAGTTTCGAGGGACAATATTCACTCGACGATTCCAAGCAGAGAATTGACTTTTTATGAATATAAAATCACTTGTATTCAAGTGACTCGGCTGTCACTATACTTTTCGAGTGAAATATCACTTCGACATATTCACAGAATATTCATTTCCTAATATATTTAGACATAGCCACCGCGACAACAAATTGACGCACGCTCTAGTCATATTTCTGTGCTTATCGGTCACTTAAGGCCGGTTTAAGGCCTTTGCCTCAAATGAAAATTCGTAACTATAAGGCTGTATATGAATTTTCACATGCGTTGCTCAATTTGATTGTATGTTGGAAATTTACGGAATTACAGTTAAGACTTTTTGACGCACAAAGGCCTTTAAAATCGCAAAGGCTCTCGTCAGCGGTGCGAAGTCGTTCCTGTCGGCAAACCACTAGCCGGGAAGAGGCGATAGAATTCCCGCGCGGTGAAGCCTCGAAGAATCTGGTTGAGTGCGACCACTTTGCGAGCCACGGCGACGCGCCGATAACGCGAGGCTCTCGTTAATGAGCGACCGCGGGCGATCCGTGCATTGAACAAGGTGCGAACGAGGCTTTCTAATTAGTCGCTACCACTACCCGTGTTTCCCAGCTGCCGATGATGCATTAACGCCAACTCGTTCGCGGATCCGCCCCGGACCGCGGAGGACGCGCGTCGACGATGAGGCAGCCCGGCGCGTCCGATGGGCCCGTTTAACTCCGGAATTTACGAGCGCACGTGCCCGATGCGACGCATAATAACTCGTATTAATTACGACTGCTGACGCGAGCACATTACGATCGGCGACCGAGTCGCGATATGAGTCTCGGGTTCGAGTTCCTTCCAGGTAAGTGCGTGCGAGTTTCAATCTGATCGATACGAGGTGTCGAATAATGCACCACGTCGCGCTGAGATAAGACACTCCCGAAGAATGGGTATTGTCGTTGATGAATGCGATGAGAGGGGCATTGCTGTGCTGAGAGAGAGAAGCATGGTTGGTCGATCTGGCCAAAATTATAGTTCATTTTTGTGAAATATAAAAGTTCTTTCTGTGCGCAATAAAGTTTATTTCTGTGGGTGAACCATGTAGTAATAATATTAATTTTATTTTATTTATTTATTTTATTAATTTTATTTTATTTATTTATTTTATTTTATGTTCAAGCAGTAACCATTAACATAACTCGTAGATTGTTTTATACATTTACGCGCGGTGAAGCCTGGAAATATACATTTCACAGAAATTTTATATATTTCACAAAAATGAACTTTATATCCTTAAATAAATTTTCAAGTAATATTTTCTCAGTGTATTTCATAATTCAACTGAAGAACTTCAACCTCACTTTGAGTCAAAATCTAAGTGTCTCACATGAGACATGTTTCAAGTAACAACTATTAATACATGCTTTCTCGCTGTCACATACTGAGGAAAAAAATATTTGAAAATTTATTTACATATAAATAAAATAAACTTTCACCCTACACAAATAAATGTTTAAGTGTTTTTCTCAGTGCATATGTGACGCTGGTAGCGAACATGTCAACTCGATGAAATATGCCGCAAAACACGTTTGTATTTTGCGTTTTTTGGATTGCTTTGCTGTTTCTCCGATGAGAAACGTGTGCTTAAATTCATACGAGTTGTCCCAGCGGACAATGAGTTATTCACGAGTGCTTCTGTTCTAATATTTGCCGTAATTAATCCCCGATTTCGTCCATAGAGTATCTCGAAATAATTCGCCGGCTTTGCGCATAGGTCGCTGGTTATTAATATATTATATTGCCGCGCAAATACATCGATAATTGGTTATCACGGGCGTTCGTGCAGCCGTCGAATCCACAAGCGAACGCGGTGAAAGTTAAGCGCAGAAAACCTGCAGTGACCCGCAATTTTTCCCAGGCATTATCAGCGTTTCCTGCACGCAGGTGCAGTGATATTTCGGAGTCCGCGCGGCTTGCGACGAATAAAAATCCGTCAGCCAACCGTGTAATTGCGCAATGACACTTCGAAACTCTCCCGGCGCAGCGCGTTCGAGCATTTTTGTCATTTCGGATACGACTGGCATTATCGAGCGACACACACATCTTTGAGCCACCATTTATCATACGATGATCACGACGATAACGATCGAATAAAAGTATTAATTACGTGTCGGCTTTCACATTGACATTTTAGTGGACTTTCACCAACCCATGTACTTCGGTCACCATCTCTGATCTTTCCGTACCTTTTTTAGGTTTTTAATGTGTCTCTTTAATTTCACTTAACAAAGTATAATAATATAATATTTATCGCGGAAATGTGTACCCAACGAAATTACATCTTTCTTTTCAAAGCATAGAAAAGAAACAATTTATACACTGAAAAAGAATTAGCTACAGCAACAAAGATCTGTTTGTAGCAATTAAATCTCGTTGTAATATGTGGATATCTAAAAGTACAACCGCCAGTAGATGTATTTAGCCAAGAAACCAATCTAGTAGAAACAGTAGTAAAGTTTAGGTTACAGCAGCAAATATATTTTCAGCAAACTATGATTAGTTGCAGCAGAGAAGTTTTTTCTTTCGTGTTACTCGCGATAGAAATAACAGCAATACCGGTTAACTTCGATATAAAAAAATCTCTTACTTCTTTCTTATTTCTTTCTAAAATTGTGGAAAACTGAAGTGATTACTTGAATATTCCACCAATTGTGGTGAAGATCGAATCTGAATGTTGCGAAATGCACACGGTGATTACACGCAAGAAAAGAATCAGCCGCATGAGCTAAAATCTAACTATGGCAGCCACGACGTATCATTGAAATAGAGACAGCTAATGTCGTTATGCTACCGGAGCTAAATTTATTAACTATTTGAACTTCCATGCTATAACAAAAGATATTTTCTGCTAGACACACATAATAATAATAAAACTTTCATACACGCAAAAAAAATGTCAGTTGGTGCAACCAAATAGGAATCAACTGAAAATTAGGTGATCAGAAGCGATATCTCTGTTATGAAAACTAATATTTCTGTTGTCGCAACCGAAAGTATTCCAACATTCAACGATATTAGAATTCGGTTGAGGCAACTAAGAACAATTGACTATACAGAAGCCTCATAAAGGAATTTTTCCGTTCCTACAGCCGAGTTTTCGCCTAATCCCTGAGCAACCGAAAATTCGGTTGCACCAACAGAATTGTTTTTTCCGTGTACTCGTAAAAAATATAATATTGACGTTTTGCACTATAAATTCAAGTCAAGCTTTCCCGTTGCTTTTTAACATAGATTAATGTCTATTTCAACGCAAACAAATGATCGATATCTTCCATACCTTTACTGATTCGAGCTACTACAACATAATTATGTTGTTTGATCCTTATTCCAGAAGGATGATTTTACGTCCATCGGAAACGCGATAAGTAGCTTAATCAGCTAATAAATTTGTGTATCCCACAGCGAATTTAATTTTACCCATGACAGTCAACTCTTAGCGATGACAGCAAAACGATTAGCCTTTTAGCTCCAAGTTCGAATCAGCTACTTAACTGACATTACTGGGTTATTTCTTTGGGTATATGTGACCGTTGCAATTTCGCGATATACGTCGAGGAAGAAAATGTCAGTTGTAAAGCAGCGCGAACGGTAGAAGTCTTTCCTCGCGTTCGCGCGCCAATGGATCTGTAATTATTCTCTCACACCGGCCAATATTACCTCACCGGTCCGACGCATTCGGGCATGGCGGTTATCGGTCGATTCGATCCGCAGAATCGCGCGAGCACTCAGCCGCGCGTAAGATATGTTCAATCTGGTGTATCTAGTAGATAACGAGATTTTCCAGAGCGATCCGAGGTCTCACAGCGACCAGATCGATGCGCGCAATGTCCCGTGTTGCTCGCTCCAGGTGAGCCAAGTAAGAAGGTGGCCGGAAGGGATAGGACGGCGGGTGAGAATTTTACGAGACTCGTTAGGAGCATTGAGGAGGGCTAGTTATGCTGATTAGATCGAGTTTACATGTTGGGAATACGCGACTACCACATGTTAATGGTATCATCCAGGTGCTCGTAGGATATGCGCGCGCTCGCCAGGATGGCAAACCGATCGTCGCCGTGAGAGAACGGTGTGGTAGCTCGAATCAGTAAAGGCGACTTGCCCCGTAAAAACGGGACAGCGATAACGATAACCCGCAGAGTCGCGTAACAGAGCGGAGCTGGCTTGAGCTAACTTGCGCGCCGGTGAAGCCGCGTTAAATAACGTCGCCTAACGACAAAAGGCGAGATAATTGACACGAACGAAGGGACCAGGTTGCAACGTATTATTT